CCGAATGCGGTAATTCATATTGGTAAGCCTTATTTATTTTTAATGAAATCACGACGATCGTAGATTGACTTTTTAACAATAGGACGAAAGCCGGATGATTGGTCTAAAAATTTCGTCTACACATGTGAGAATATCAACTATTTCAAAGACCTTGAACATGTCGCTATTTGGGAGAAGCAATTTCCTGAAAAGAAAGGCGCAACAATGCCAATTGCAAAAGTGTATGAATGGGTCAAGCCTCAAGCCGAGGCGCGATATTGGGATTACGATCAGCCACCGGACGTCGTCAGTAGCAAGAGTCTCGTATCTACAAGCCTGAAGGGATTGAAGAAGGCTGGATTCGATGTTTCCGCTTGGGAAGGATTGTATTAGAGAGAGGTTCATGATATACATTTGATAAATCAAGGTGTTGTCAACTCGTTAGATGCGACAAGATTGCTTTTCGTCAAACATCGACTACTTGACTTACACAACGATTTAGCTCAGCTATTTCTTCTGCAGAAAGACTACGGTTCTAAATATATTCTTGATCTTTGATCACTAGACACATTCTCAAACTCTGATTAGGCTTTTGATGATTCAAGAGTGAGAGTCATGCTCCAATAAATTCACAACATTGCTTGGCGAGACGTAATCTCCGAGTTTATAATATAGTTCAAGGCGAAGATACAGGACGCTCCTCAATTCGGCACCACCACAGCTTTAATAGGTATCCCAAGCCCTACAAGATTGAGGGCCTCCTGTAGTTGATCTAACTTGAAGCGATGAGTTATCAAACGCGAGAATCGCAGTCGTTTACCATGCTCCGATGCAATGTCCACTGTTTGTTTGTAACTGTCGACATCGAGGCCCAGGCTGCCGATGATGTGAAGATTATAATTATTTATGCGCACAGGGTCTATTAGGACCTTAGTACTTCCAGAATATAAGCCAAGAACCAAATAGTTCCCATCCATCCCTAGCAGGTCAAGGCCCTCGGGAAACGCAGCAGCTGTTCCGGCCGCTTCCACAACTATACCCGCTCCGCGGCCTTCTGTGAGATCATTGACTAGTCTTGATCTGGATTCTGGTGTAGTGTTGGTGAGAGATACGGTGTGCGTTGCTCCGAGCAAGGTGGCCGCCTCAAGGCGATGTGCGGGATCTCCAATGACGATGATTGAACGGGCACCAGCAAGGCTCAACAGCAACGTACATGCTAAACCTACAGGCCCTGAGCCCTGTACAACCACTTCGGTGTTTGGGGGAATATCTCCCATCTGCTTTAGGCCTCTCAAGGCCGTCGGCATCCCACAACCAAAGGTAATGACGTCTTCAGGGGCAACAGCTGGAGGTACTCGTATATATACGCATCTAGAGCTCAGAGTTGCGTATTGTCTAAAACAAGCCCCATTTGGCTTGCCAGCCGGAGTTGGCCAGTTCACATTCTTGCATCGTAAGGGATTGGACAAGCCACAGTCCACGCAATCGCCGCAGGGAGTCAATGGCATCCAGTAAACAGTGTCTCCTTGATTCAATGGGACACCAAGACTATCAGCGTTAACTTGTTCCCCGAGACTTTCAATTATTCCGACTGCTTCATGTCCGAATGCAACACTCGTAGACTTGATAGGAATATCGCCCTTCAACCTGTGCACGTCGCTACCGCAAATCCCGGCGATCAATACACGGACTAGGATCTCGTCACGCTCCGGCGGCTGGATTTCTTCCTCGATGATTCTTATTGGATCACTTGGTTTGGTGAAGACTGCGACTTTCCCATACTTCATATCGAGCTGTAGGTTGATCTGTTGCTGATAGTTTGATTTGGATGGTTCGCAAATGTGGTTCGCTGATATCATGGTTGAGGAATTCGGAACCCAATATTGGCAGAAGAGGCTCGTAGACTATCTTTAATTGAGCAATTTAATCTTTTACTGCTAATTATCTGATTCTGTTCAATGTTGCTCGTTAACCTCGGATCGAGGAATCAAGCCCTCCGCATTACAGAATTTTTGAAATGATAGCACGTGAGTGTGCATCTCTCCAAGATTCCGATGATAGCGATTGAGTGGTACCACTAATTCAATGTATGAAGCAAGGCCTATTTGTCTCGCTCATATTACAGCAAAATGTGATTTTGTCGAGCCTCTCTTTGTTCACGTGTCCAACTTCTTTTGCAAAATACCCTCGGTAATTCGTCAGCTATCAACTCGCGCCTACGTCCATTGATTAGGAGCAATAACATAGAAGATAGAGCTTCGAAACATAGACGGACTGGCACTTGGATTTTGAAATATGGGACGCATAATAAGATGGCTGAAACCTAAGATTATCCTTTTGCTCTCTCTCCATGCCCAATACTGTGCAGCCAACCTGCTTGGACTTTCATTGCTGACACCCGTGATCATGTGGCAACAGGCTCTCCTTCTCCAAGCTGATCTCTTGTCCTTGGTATAAGTCGAACATAGAGCTCTGGTTTATCCCAAAGGAAATAGAGTATATTCTTCTCCAGCCAGTCTTCACTGCGGGGGTCAAGCTCTATATCAAAACTCCATATCATCTTGGCTAAAATGAGCCTCATCTCAGCATAGGCGAGACAGCAATGCAGTTAGTTACGAAATGACTTTCTAACGCGGAGCAGAACACTTACTTTTTGCCAATACAGTTCCGAGGACCGACAGAGAATGGTTGGAATGCCCCCTTCTTGTCACTGTCGTATCTAGGGTCGCCAAGCCATCTTTCCGGCACAAATGAATCGGGATCTTTGAAAAATTTGGGGTTATGATTCAATGGCCACTGCCAAATTCCCAGAATGGTCTATATTGTGATTTATTAGCCTTGTCTCTGTCAATTAAAGGAAGAACTAATATACGTTTGGGGGCACGTATTCATTTCCGATCGTCGAGCCTTCAGCTGGTGTTTTTCGTGGGATTGCAGCAGGTACAGGTGGATAGATTCGAAGCGCCTCATGGAGCACTGCGAACATGTACTCTAGCTTTTGAACACTTATCAGATCAATCTCATCTTCGCTGCTGAAGTGCCGACTAAGTTCCTCCTGCAGTTTGAGAAGAACCTCTTTGTGAGACGCCAAAAGGTAGGTCGCGCCAGCCAAAGTTGTTGCGGTCGTCTCAGAGCTACCGACGATCAAGTTATGCGCGTTCGCCAAAACCTCTTTATACGAAGCTTGCTACTGAAATCAGCACTTCAAAGTCGGATACTGTACTCGTATTACTCACATCCTTATTATGCGCCTTTATCATTGACTCCATGAAATCTGGCCTCGGATTTCGGTAAGCCATACGCTTCGCAACCTGAGCCTTTGTAAATTCGGAGTGCGTTTCAATGTCCCTAGCCACGCTCTTTGGCGTAAAGAGCCCAATCAAGCTGCTACCAAATGGGAATCTTATCACAGCCGTAGAGATAGCTATTCCCTTGATGTGCATGAATATTAGTTTTACCCATGGATGATACTGTGCTTTCTCGAGGCATCCGAATGGTTCGCCGAATATTAGATCTCCAGCCATATCAAACGTAGTCCAGTTATACCAGGACGTAATTTCCAAAGGTTTGCCGTCTTCAGAAGCTGCCTTGAGCCTCTGGATAAGAAGAGAGGCGTACCGTTGAAAAATGGGTTGTTGTTCCATCATTGCCTGAGCAGAGAATCCATGGGAGAGGATTTTTCGTAATCGGCCATGTCTTTCGCGATCAGAGCCGACAAGCGTCAGGTTGTCGTCTCCTCTCCAGAAGTCAGGATCTTTCCCATTTTCATCCTGTCCCCGCTTCCTATGGCCCATCATTCCTTCCCAGGCTTCAGGATACCCGAAACTGAGTTGATTCGGGGCTATTCGTACAATGTCGCCATATTTCTCGTGCAGTTCGAGCATCTTCTTATGGCCGGTGCCAGACATCCACATGATTGTGAAGGGTATATGGGAAGCACTCCATAGCTTGGGACCAGGGTATTTTCGGAGCGGGTGGAAAAATACGTTATACACGGCGAATCCTGCTATATAACTCAAGCTCTGAATGTTGAAGGTGTCAGCGAGGGACCATATTCCAGTCAAAACAGATTCAGATGAAGATGAGTGAACCTCGCCGGTGCTTATGGATGGCGACGAGATTAGCTTACCAGGCCTGATAACATGATCAGCCATGAGCTGAGAGTGGACTGCCGCCACCATTCTTCGATCAAAGAACGCATGATGTATGCAGCTACTAAGCAAGTGACACAAGAAGCTTCCCTCTCAGGACTTGGTGATGAATATTCAATAGCCTTCGAGACCAAGTAAGGTTTTTGAATTCACAAAACTCCTAATGCTGCTCGGCAAGGAGAGGCCCTACATGTTGATCCGGATAATATACGGCTTGCGTAGCATTAGGGTAAATGATCGATGGAGTTTCAGGTGACCTCGGTTATCACTCCCAAATTGTAACCCTGAACTTTTATAGTCGAGTTAATGCGCTACATGCTTGGCTTGAAAACCCCATGCTTTCGGCCTCTCCTTCAACGCCCGAAATCTGTTCGGCACAACTACTAGCTTGGATATTTTGCTGATAACCGTATGGGCTGTCGAAAATGTCATCAAGAATGAGTTGAGGAAATGTATCGTACAAAGAGGAAGGCTTGGACACGTTATATGTTTCCAACGACTTCAGGCTATTTGCATAACTGCAGATACTAAGTAATCAAGCTATAATGCAGCGTTTGTTATTGCGTGCAAAGAAAGTCGAAGCTTTTAACACAGTCGTCGATGGTGGTGGGTGTAAACATCCTATGATCATCTCATTAACCGACGTTCAATCCTGAACAGCGGTCTGCAACATTCTCGGACCTTTTTGTGCCAATGTGGAAGCTTCTAGAACAGCATCATGCAAGTTCCTAGATTAGCCATCGCAAGGGAAATTGGGGACGGCTGGCATGGAGGTTGTAGCTCGGCAGGCGTAGGCTAGACAAGGCAGTCATTTGACGTAGCTTCAAGTCCATGAAATAATATAAAAATCTCTATCTGGTACGGAATTGGTCAAATTTTGGCTCTATCCGTCTTCAAAGCCTCCGATTTGGCACGATAAGTCTTGAGTAACTGACGCACAGCTAGGTCAAACATGACGTCTTCACTGCCACCAGGTATGCGTGCCCCGGGAATCTCACGATATATCTTCTCCACAAGCTCGCCCTGGCCCGTGCGAGTATATCCGTTGCCTCCAAACAACAGGACAGCGCACCTCGCACACTCGTCAAGGACGAGGCCTGCCTTTGCTTTTGCGAGAGCTACAAAACCTCCCAACTGCTGGCGTGCTTCTTGACCCTCGAGATTCGCTATTTGGTAAACTAATTGATCAGCCCATGCAGAAAGAGACTCCAGCTCAGCTCCAGCCCTCGCCAGGCGATTGCGAACAACGGGCTGCTCCATAAGGGTGCTGCCAAAAGCCTCGCGCTTTGATACATAGCTAAACGCCGCTGATAAAGCTGCCCTGGCTGAAGAAACTATGCCAATGACGATAGCCAATCTCTCGTGGTTGAAGTTCCGAGTAATCATTTTCATGCCTTGACCTTCCTTTAACCCGAGAGCGTCAACATTATTATTAATCAGAACATACGATAAGAAAACGGGAGGAATGAAACATACCGAACCAATAAGGTTTTCAACAGGGACCTTCATGTCCTCTAAATCGATAAATGTTGTCCCGCTTGCGGTTCCTCCAGAAGTCTTCATCCTACGAAGATCTACACCAGGTTGGTCCAACAGAGGCACTACCAGAAGAGAGATTCCAGCTGCTCCTGGACACCCTGTTCGAACAGCCATGGTAGCATAATGGCACCAGACGCCATTTGTGATCCTATGTTGCATAGAATTAGTCATGGTAGATATGAGTTATGTTATAATATCAAGAGAGACTCGCCATTTCTTCTGGCCATTGACGAGATAAAACTTGCCGCACGTTGTTTTTGTCGCTGTTGTGGTAATATTGGCAACATCACTGCCTGCATCAGGCTCTGTTATCGCAATACAAATCCTTTTCTTTCCCATTATAAGATCCGGGAGCAAGCGCCGTTGCAGTTCCTGGCTGCCATAGGTGATAATAGGCGGCATACCGTAGGCCATTCCCGTGGACAGTGACGATGTTGGCCCACCAATGCCCACCTTCCGCATCTCACTGATGTAGATGGAGAAATGCATGTAATCAAAATCTTCGATCCGCAGTCCGCCAAGTAGCTCCGTGATCCCTAGACTTTTAAGCATGTCGATGGGTAACGGAGCAGGCAGATTGGGAATCAGCATGTTGTGCTTTGAGAAGAGCTCAAAAACATATTCAGGCACGTTTCCCTGCGTCTCCCATTCGAGTGCATAGGGGGTAAGATGCTCTGATATAAACTCGCGACATGCTTTTTGCCATTTCTTATGCGAATCTTTGTAGTATGGAGATGGCAGACCCGTGAGCCAGGGAGGTTCTGAAAATGGTACGGCTACCGAATAATCAGAGGATTTCATGTTGATGGTCTCAATATTAATACAGAAAGATTCCTCAGTCCACAATTAGGGGCTTGAGACAAGCTTATTAACTTCGATAACAGTCTCTTTTCTTTTCAACAAATGTCCAATGGACTCAATTTCGCACGAAAAAAAAGCTCATAGTTGAACTAGACTGATCAAATCCTTGACGCGGTGAGAACCCAAATGCAACGTGGGGTGAGAATAGCCGAGGGCCGATGGTTACGCTGCCCCTCACTTCCAGGTTACTAAATTCGATCATCACGATGAGTTAATCGCAGTATTCTGGTGGCAAACCGGATTGAAACCCGAAAAACGTTGCCTTGGGCGAGCTCCTCTCCATAGACTTTATGAATGCTGGCAAAGAGAGCTTGTGTACCAAGGGGATCTAAATAGTAGCATCCTTTCTGTCAAGGTCTCTATGGTCACATTCAAACTAACTTAAAATCTTCGCCAATATCATTATTTGGTCATGAAAGCAGTAGTCATCAGAGGTTCGAAGGCCGTCCTGAGCCGGTCACGAGAATTACCAAAACTCCGGGAAGATTGTCTACTGGTCCGCCCAGTCGCCGTGGCTCTCAACCCAACAGATTGGAGGCACATTAAGGGCAGACGTGCCAAAGATGATTGCATTCTAGGATGCGATTATTCTGGAGTCGTGGAGTCTGTTGGGTCTGGCGTAGGACACAAATGGAAACCAGGTGACAGGATATTTGGCTCTGCTCACGGTGCAAACCTCGTCAACGCGGACGACGGCGTTTTTGCAGAGCTGGCATGTGTCATCGGGGATCTCCAAATGAGAATGCCTGAATCCTTGACCTTCGCACAGGCCGCCACCATTGGCTTAGGAGCTGGCACAGTTGGCCAAGGACTCTACCAAAAGGGTTTGAAGCTTGACTTACCTGGCCTAGAAGGTAAAAAAAACCCCAGGGGTATTTCAGTGTTGATATATGGAGGAGGGACCTCAACTGGAGCATTAGGGATCCAATATGCGAAACTGTAAGCGGTCCGTCCGTAGATTCCAAAAGAAGGAGGGGGTTTCTAACACATATCTAGCTCTGGCTATAATCTAATAACTGCATGCTCGCCGCGTCATTTCGAGTATGTTAAGGACTTGGGTGCAGATTTTGCAGTTGATTACTCCGACAACGACGCAGGTGCGAGAATCCGCCAATACACGGATAACCGTCTTATATTTGCATGGGATACTATCAGCAAGACTGATTCCGCTCGTACCTGTGCCGAAGCTCTCACCAGCCTATCATCCCTTAAGCCTATCTATAGCAATCTATTACCAATCAAAAGTCCTCGGCAAGATGTTTCATCTACTACGACAGTTTTCCATACGATCTTTGGCAAGCCGTTCAAATTTGGTAGTCAAGAAATGGAGGCTCAACTGGAAGACTATGAGTTCGGCAAAACCTTTTATCGCCTTACGGAATATCTCTTAGCCAAGGTTAGTTGCGGTATCCAATTAAGATTTGCAAGACTAGTTTTGAGGAATTGCTAACGTTTAATAGGGACACCTACGTCCGCACAAGTGCCGTGTAGAGCAGGGTGGACTAGAAGGAGTCATTCAAGGGTTGCTAGATTTAGAGGCTGGTAAGATCCGGGGCGAAAAACTAGTGTATATGGTTGAGGATACGCCTTAAACGTTGGAAAAGGAAAGAAGCATATTGTCGGATACTTCAATTACTGCGTAAAAACATCCCCCATCATGTGTCAATATAGTTTTATTGCTTTCCTTGCGATCTACATGTCCCCTGAGCTTCCAGTGCGCTCTCAAAGTGCATAGTCTATAAACTCTTGCATGCTGCCAAGCGATTCGCAATCGCCCGTTTCACAACTTGACAACGAGGTGCAAACCGTTGGAAGGCGTGCGGCACACCCTCATATATATGTAGGTCGAGAGGTATATTGGCCTCTATAAATCGATTTGCGTAGGAGACATTCTCGCGAGCGAACATATCCAAGCCACCGCAGTCTAGATATAGAGGTGGAAGGCCTGTGACATCTTGTAAACGACCTGGTGCTGCATAAGGAGTTACCTTGTCGGTGTTGTATATATCACCTAGGTAGGCAGCCCACCCAGTCAGGACATCCTCAATGCCGAACACAGCAAGACCTCCCGTGTGGTCAGTTACTGTTCGGTCGTCCAGCATTGGGTATATGAGGATCTGCTTGGCCAAGGGGGGATCCATCTTTCTGTCTCTCGCTAGGATAGCAATGGCCGCAGCCAGACCGCCACCGGCGCTTTCGCCCATAATTGCAAGACGGTTTGGATCTATGTTGAGCTTGGCAGCATGAGCTTGGATCCATAGCAGCGCAGACCAGCAATCTTCCAGAGGCACTGGAAACCGATGTTCTGGGGCGAGACGGTAGTCTATCGACAACATAGGAACACCGGTTTCGGACACGTAGGATCCAAGTGCTGGGGAGTAGTCTCCTGCGTTCGAGCAGGTATATCCCCCACCATGTATGTGGACAATAGCCGGCCCTGGGGCTGAAGCTACATTCGTCCGTCGGAAGTGTAAAATCTGAACCTGATGTCCATCCTTCGCTTGAGCGTGATGAACCTGCTTCGTCACATTTTCGGGAATAGGCGGCAATCCACCTGCTCCACGGATGAATTCTTCGATACGGGTTCTGCGGCTCTCCACGTCACCCACAGGAAATACAGGCAATTGGGCGTTCATCGCCGCCGCTGCCTCCTCATAAAACTCTGGATCATAACGTAGCAAAGACATGACTATGTAAAGAAGAACAGGCCCGGGCTTGATGTTCAAAATTTCAATAAGAGCTAACTACCTTTCCTCTCACGGCGCCATGAAGGATCAATCTGTTCAGTTTCAAGGAGACAATGATTCTAGTTTTAGGCAATATAAGGGCTAGATGATCCTGGTAAAGCGGATCTTGTGTCTTTCCGAATGCGTTCGCCAGCACTTCCCGTTCTTTGAGTTTGGCGAATTACCGGCTACCCGACCTCTTATGGGTTGCCTCGGCCAATATCGAACACATCCCAGCAATACAAAACTCAGAAAGTGGGATATGTCTCGACACTAGTATCAGGTTCTACTATGTGAACCTCGGTATATACAGTAGATAGAACGCACAGAGTGAGCAATTTGTCTCATGCTATCAAAGGGCCTTGGCTCGTAATTGTTATTTGACATTACCTCAGTATCCAACTACCTACCTTATCATTTATACAAACCATCACATATCCAAACGAGGGAATTATTTTCAGTTTCAGGGCAGCATCACTACTGTCTCATGAGTCTTCGTTACGACGGTCTGGTTGTGGTGGTGACTGGGGCTGGGGCTGGGCTCGGCCGCGCTTATGCCGAGTTCTTTGCCTCTAGGGGTGCCAAAGTCGTTGTGAATGATCTGGGAAGCTCTTTACAAGGAAAAGGAATCAGTGTTAAGGTATTCAATGGCTTTGATATACCTTCTGATGAACGAGCTGACAGTCTTTACTTTAGGCAGCAGATGCCGTAGTCGGTCAGATCATTACCAATGGCGGCATCGCTGTCGCCAACTACGACAGCGTCGAAAACGGCAAATCGATAATTGACACAGCTATATCCAATTTCGGACGTATTGATATTCTCATCAATAACGCAGGAATACTCCGTGATGTTAGTTTCAAAAACATGAACGACGACGATTGGGACTCTGTACAAGCCGTGCATATGCGAGGAGTCTATAAAACTACCCAAGCAGCATGGTCATATTTTCGACAACAAAAATTTGGAAGGATTATCTTGACCTCATCAGCAGCAGGCTTATATGGGAACTTTGGCCAGTGCAACTATTCTGCTGCCAAGTCCGGCATGGTTGGACTTGGTGAGACCCTGGCCAAGGAGGGTGTAAAGTACAACATCCTCACAAACATCATCGCCCCAGTAGCGGCGATCCGGATGACAGCAACTGTAATGCCTCCGGACTTACTTCATCAATTAACGCCAGATTGGGTCGTGCCTATTGTCGCCGTTCTCGTGCACCCTGACACGAATTTTGAAAACGGTTCGGTCATTGAGGCAGGGGCTGGGCATGTCTCGAAAATTCGATGGGAGCGCTCAGCCGGGGCTCTTCTCAGGTCTGACGAAACACTTACACCTGGAGCAGTTCTTGCCAAGTGGACAGATGTTAATGACTTCTCCAACGCTGAATATCCGAACACGACCGCCGACTTGGTGGGCCTTCTCAAACGTTCGCAAAGTCTACCTCCCAATGATCCAGGGGAGACTATACGCTTCGATGGAAGGGTAGCCGTCGTGACAGGCGGGGGTGCTGGGTAAGAGGCATAATCAGATGGAAGGTTCTTAAGCTGACATCGATATCATAGCTTGGGCCGTGCATACAGCTTAGGGCTGGCCAGACTTGGGGCATCTGTTGTTGTCAATGACCTTGCGAACCCCCACACCGTCGTCGAGGAGATCCGCGCCTCGGGAGGCACCGCTGTCCCAAATCAGTCTTCAGTCGAAAATGGAGAGGAAGTCATCAAGACAGCCATTGATTCATTTGGAAGGGTGGATATCTTGATAAATAACGCTGGTATACTCCTAGACAAGTCCTTCCAAAATATGACTGATGAGATGTGGGATGCTGTTAACGACGTCCACCTCCGAGGAACATACAAGTGTGCGAAAGCGGCTTACCCTTACATGAGGAAGCAGAATTATGGTCGCATCATAAACACAACTAGCACAAGTGGAACATATGGAAATTATGGGCAAGCCAACTATGCCACAGCTGTAAGTGAAAGCATCTACCCCTTTCCAAGTCAGTGAAAGGCAAATACTAACCTTGGAACAGAAAACTGCCATTGTAGGATTTTCCAAAGCACTTGCTATTGAGGGACGCAAAAACAACATCATTGTCAACTGCATTTCGCCGTCTGCGGGTACAAATCTGACCAAGGGGGTTCTGCCCGAGGAGATTGTCAAGTCCCGGAAACCAGACTATGTTGCACCGATAGTTCTTCTCCTGTCCTCTGACAAGGTCCCGGCTGATGCTTCCGGTCGGATATTCGAGGCTGGATGTGGATGGCAGGCAAGAACAAGATTCCAGCGATCCGACGGCTATGACTTCCCGCGGAACACTCCTCTAACCCCAGAGATGGTGTTGGGCAAGTGGTCCGAGATTGTCTCTTTCACGCCTGGGAAGACCAGTAATCCAGAAATGATCTCTGACTCTCGCGATCGCATCCTGGCAAACATCAAAATATCCGGAGACACTCCTCCCAGCGGCCGGCAGTGGCTAGACGCGATTGCGAAAGCCCGGAGCGCACCGGCACAGCGTTCTAGTATGACTTTTACCGACAAAGAAGTTCTACTATACAACTTATCACTCGGAGGTACCCCTTCGCAACTTCCGTTAGTGTTTGAGAAGCACCCTGACTTTCATGTGCTTCCTTCGTTTGGTGTGATTCCGGGCACTACCGCCTCCCGGCCATTCAAGTTGGAAGATCTCGTACCCAATTTCAACTACAAAAACATGCTTCATGGAGAGCACATGCTTGAAATCCGCAAATATCCCATCCCTACTTCCGGTACTTTTATATCAGAATGCCGACTGATCGACATACTCGATAAAGGCAAAGCAAGCATCGCGATTATTGGCACCCTGACGAAAGATGCAGCTACTGGGGACGAGATCTTCTACAATGAGCTAACACTCTTCCTCCGTGGCACTGGCGGGTTCGGTGGAAAGACGACTCGATCCGAACACAGCAGCACCAAGTCGTCCTCTTCTCCGCCAAGCCGGAAACCAGACGTGATCATTGAAGAGAAGACATCCGTTGGCCAGGCGGCCCTGTACCGGCTGAACGGGGACAGAAATCCTCTCCATATAGATCCCGCAGCGAGTAGTGCTGGGGGCTACAACAAACCCATCCTTCATGGACTGTGTACATTCGGCATCGCCACTAAGCAAATTGTTCTGAACTATGGTCCCGTCAAGAGCATAAGGATGAGATTCGTGGGAGTTGTCACCCCTGGTGAAACGCTTCGAATCGAGTCATGGAAGGACGGAAATGATATCATATTTCAAGTCAAGACAAAAGAAAGCGGGACGTTATGCACTGCAGGTGGGTGTGCCACTCTGGAACAACCATTGAAAACACGTCTATAGGATGACAACTTTGAAAGGCTCAGACGGCGATCTTCTGACATCGAAAACCAGAATTCTTTTCAGTCAGCATGATTCTTGCCAAGATAGAGCTTCTAGAATCTCAATTCCATTTATTTCACAAAAGTAGAGCGACACAAGCGTTTATGCATGTATCAAGCGCGAAACAATTTATAGCCTTGAATGTAGCTCATTTATGCTTATACACACATTCCCCGATCAAATTGTCACCCATATTCAATATATTAGAAGGACTATCAAGAAGTGAGTGTTCTACCCAACGTCTGCTTTCAGTGTCAGGTTCTCCAAAAATGCAGACTTTACCCAGGCAGTTGTTTGCCTCGGCTATGTCGTACTTGGCTTAAGAGGGCGTTAAACAACAGAAGTATACTTTTGGGCAGCATTTCAAATATATCATTGTGTATGGAATCAATTTGCTTTGATACTACCCGCATCCGCATAACATTGACATTTCTAGCAGACATGAGCACAGGTGTGGGAGCTTTGGCAAAGGCCCGCCATGATCTTGACGACAAATCGCTGGGTCGCTATCTTCTCAAAACCGGAAATATCCCCGATCTGAAACTTCCAATTGCGACGGAGAAGATTGGCTACGGTCAAAGCAACCCAACATATTTTCTAGATGACGCAGCGTATGTCTAAGCCCTTCCGTTAACACCATGAGATATTTGGAGCTTGGCTAACCGAAAAGAAAGTGGAAATAGATATGCTCTTCGAAAAAAGCCCCCTGGACAGGCAATTAGCCCAGTAGCGCATCGTATTGATCGCGAGTACAAAGTCCTCAAAGCACTTGGTTCAGTCAAGGGCTTCCCTGTTCCCAAGGTCTACGATATCTGCCTTGATAACTCTGTGATCGGAACACAGTTTTATGTAGCTATTTTCCTTGCCATTGAGAGAGCGTGTCACTAATTTTCAGTTAGGTGATGGAATTTGTTAAGGGAAGAATTATTACGGATACGGATATGGCGGATTTGTCGCCAGATGAAAGACGAAAAGCGTATGGTTTGCCATCCTAATATGAGCTGAACCTCATAGCTAAACACATTAACACAGATGGTTCTCTGCCATTGAGACTCTTGCTTGGCTACACTCGCTAGATCCGGATGAAATTGGCCTAGAAAGCTATGGCAAGAAGGCCAACTTCTATAATCGCCACTGCAGCACTTGGAGCCGCATTGAGTCTCAGCAAGCTGCTGTCAAAGATATCAAGAGCGGGAAATCCTTAGGCAGAGCTCATGAGAAATATGATGAAGTCTTGGCCTACATCAAGGCCAACCTGCCTGGGGAGCGGTATGCCATTGTGCATGGAGACTTCAAGTTCGACAATCTGGTAAGTCAATTGTCTGGATTTCCAACCAGAAAGGAGGCTGAGCTTGCGTATTGGGTAGATTCTTCATCCCACGGAGCCAAGAGTAATCTGCATCCTCGATTGGGAACTTTCTACAATTGGCCATCCACTTATGGATCTCGTATTTCACATCAGTCCATTCTTCTCTGATTACACAAAGAGCGGGAAGTCGGCCTTGTCCTCAGCAGTGTCACCGTATAAACCAGAGAATCGAAGTGCCAGCGGGATTCCGGAGCCAAGGGAACTTCTAGACCGCTACGCAGAAATCGTAGGGTTCGATATGACAAGGGATGGGGGAGGCAAGGACTGGGAGGTGGCGATCATCTTCCAATATCTGCGCGGGGCCACCATCAGTCATGGCATCCAAGCACGATCCATAAGTGGTCAAGCAAGTAGCGACTTCGGTCATCTATATTTCGACAAGACTAAGCAGGCAATGGATGCAGCCTTCCAGAGAGTGAAGAATTTACGGCAGAAGAAAACAGGCGGGAACAGACTCTAGAGTCAGCCTTCATTACGGGCTAATTCTTCCATCTTGATTACATGGGCTTCATGGTAGTGCATTTAGGTCCAAGCTTAAGCCGATTTCATCTCCAGATACCTTAGAATACCAAGCATTCAATTTAGAAATCACCTCGGCAACTGCGGCTAGAGAAGTACTTCCTTCGGTTCAACTTTCTGCCCAGTCAGATTGATCATCATACTCCGCATCTAGTTCGTGGATATTTATCTTTGAAGCATAGATTTTGCTTTGACCAATATTTATCAGGGCATCACAGTCTTCTCCGCACGCAAATACTTCCATATTGCCCCCCTTCTTCTATGATTTGAATAGCGACAGGTTCGCGATGGCACTTCAATTTGACCCTGAATATGCGGCGGCAGTCAAGCCATTGCTTCCCCTTCTCTCGAGCAGAAATAAATTATCCTTGTCCGAAATTCCAACCGCGAGAAAGGCGCGCGAAGCAGGGATTGCTGCTTTTTTCCAGAAGCTGGAAGATTGCCCTGACGTAAAACAACAAGTTCATCACGTGAAAGCCTCGGATGGCTACATCATGTCAGTCCTAGCTTTCTACAAGAAAGATGCTCCATCGTCTCCCGGACCAGCCGTATTACACCTTCACGGCGGAGGCATGATACTCGGTTCAGCCGAGCTACACGCAAAGCCCTTAGCACATCTAGTTAGCAAGACATCCGTCCCTATCTTCAGTGTCAACTATCGCCTGGCTCCTGAGCACAAAGATACCGTCCCGGTTGAGGATGCCTACACTGCTCTTCTGTGGTTAACCCAACAAGACAGTGTAGACTCTAGCAGAATTGCAGTATACGGAGAAAGTGCTGGCGGGGCTTTGGCCGCTGGTGTTGTCTTAATGGCTCGGGATTTGGGCCTACAGCCACCCCTAGCAAAGCAGATTCTTATATATCCTATGCTGGACGATCAAAACCAGGTCGCAAATGATAAGATGGAACCCTTCGCTTTTTGGAAGACGGAAGATAACGTCACGGCCTGGACTGCACTTCTTGGGGACAAGGCCGGAGATCCCGATGCCAGTGTGTCTCCTTACTCAGCGCCTGCTCGAGCAACCAGCCTAGTAGGCTTGCCATCAACCTACTTGGATGTTGGTGGTCTAGATATTTTCCGGGATGAAACTGTGAGCTATGCCGCAAGGCTGATGGCTGAAGATATACAAACTGAGCTGCATGTATACCCCGGCGTCCCCCACGCATTTGAGATGGTGGCACCTCATATTAAGGTGACAAAGAGAGCACTTAACAATAGAGAAAGTGCAATTTTAGAACTTTAATTCAATTGACAAATTTTTCGTAGGTAGCGCATATCCTCAGAATTGTCCACGCATAGAGATAACCAGACCAAGACACTCACTATTTCGGCTCTGCCATTCATAAAATCAACGGGCTTCCATATCTCATGTGCTTCGAGCAACTACCCAAAAAAGCCTTCAAAGATAAAAGAAACATTGAGTACTATGGCTAATATAGGATCTGGCTGTTCTATTACTTGAAATGAGGTTTCAGTGTTGGCATGATGATCGCTCGATTCGCTTGGAGTTTGCCCTCGGGCAAAGTCAAGCGTGTTCAGAATATCTCGATGTAGGTTTAGCTAAAAAGAACTATGAACCAATGAATCGTGAAGAATGTTTTCTTTTTCTCATAAATGCCTCATCTTTTGCTCTCTTCCCACTCAACTCAATATCCGACCTCATGCATGGAAACCCTCCTCTTGATGGTCTCCAGGTTGTAGAACTCGCTGGACTAGCTCCTAGTTAGTTCTTAACATTCTATGCTATTAGGAAATCCGGCTCAGACTGTTTGAGTCCTCCTCTGACTACCTCTAAACAGGGCGGTTCTGTGGCCAGCTACTCTCCTCCAACGGGGCAAGTTTTCTTCTTGTAGATCGCTCAACAGATTCAGCCAACCCGAACATTTTAGTCTCACGAACGTCGTCCATCTCTTGGGACCTGAAGATCCCAGGCTGCCTCCAGCGCCTTAAGACTCTCCTTCAAGAGCCCGATGTTCTTTTGGACTCTTATCGGCCCGGGGTTCTTGAGAGACTAGGGCTTAGTCCGGCAACACTCAGAGTTTCATACCCACGCTCAATTATTACTCGGATGACTAGCTTTCTCAGAGATGGTCCATACAAAGACGAGGGAAATTACATGTCAATAGGAGCCCTAGGGCCCCAACTCTTCGCCAATTTGCTCCAAGCAATGGGCTTAACGCTGGAACAGGTTGTTCCCACGGGGCTATCACGGGATGATAAGAACTCGTGGGTGCATTTGCAAGCTGATCTCTAGGCAAGTTTTAAGACGTAGATACGGATAGAATTGAAGCACGTGCAAAGGGAATCAATTACCCCAGCGGTCTTCACCTTAAAATAATTATGTCTATAATTTTACTCTGGCGCGATTATACCTGGAGTTTTAGAAGCGACTACTATTTCGTGAAGTATTACATAAACTGGAGAAGGAATGTAACGATCCAGCATTATAGCAATAACTATATCCGGTATAATAGATCTGATTATACATATTTCGTTTTGGGATATGGCCTGTTCAGACCTATATGTAACAAAGATCGCCAGGGTTCATACGCCACTGACAAAGTGTCTTCTTTTGTCGCCTCCACCAGGGCTTCTTGGCAGGTTCAGAAGGTACGCAGAGTAGTTCTTTTTTTACTCTTTCACATTTACCAGGAGTCTAGAGTCCATATTAATACCAATATATGAGAGCTCTAAATTTCACTCTAGACTTACACCTTGGCGGAGATAAAGCTCACGTGTTGTAAGAAACTCGTCGCGGGCGGCAAGGTAGTTACGACGAGCGATTTGGTACTCATTGCGGGTAACGAGACCTTCGCCGTTCAGCTGCGCTGCTGCGATGGTTTGGAGAGCGAAAATAGAGACAAACGTCTTAATGAAATGCATTTTTAAGAGTTGGATCCTTGTAATATTCTACTACGTACTGGTGGAGGAAAGCAAGGGGGTTTATATTTTTTTCTTCTTTACTTGACAAAAGAGGGTAAAACAAGATATAGCAGATATAAATATTAATATCTAGTTATTAATATAGATGCTGGATTCCACTCTTTTAGTTCGGTAGTACTAAAATCTTACTGCTGTAATTTCCGTATTTTATCCTTGAAATTCCTTAATCTGGTAATAACTAACATTGTGAGGGAGGACCCCCAGGAGTATGTCAAGTATGTCTGATGAAACCATGACTGAAATTCTCTGTTTACTACGACGGCCATGTATACTTTTTTTACGAGTTTGTTCGCTGCATGTCGCAGATTGGAGGTCTTACTTGAAAATTGAAGGTTGCCTCTACAGTAAGCTAGGGGTTGAACCTCGAGACTGCCCATAGCGCTACTGCTCGACAGCCCTTCAAACATTGCGACTGTGAAGATATGATATGGGAGATGCAGAAGCAGCTGAAGAAGGCAATGATGGTGGCTATCAAGGAGACTGAGCAAGTACAGACCAAAAAAGGTTCAGATAGTGAATCCGAGTTATTCATGAACTGCAGTACAGGACGCAAGAGCCAGTATACTCCCCCAGCATAGCGGGCATATATGACGAGAAGCAAAAGCTCTGCGAGCAAGTAAGGGGCGCCATGGAACTAACGCGTTGATCTAGAACGCGTCCCTTGCTTGTCAGTTATACGCGCATCAGCGTACGTGCCGGACAAGGATATTCACCTGCAGCCCACGGGTTCATTTATGGAACCGGATTAAGTAGCAATGTGCGATCCCGGGCAAGGTTACCAAACCGGGGTAAATGGGTTTTGAAACTTGACAATGTAAAAATAGCAGTTATCGAGCATTTCTTTTTGAATGATATTTGCAGCCCAATCCTGCAGGACATGAGCCGAGTTATTTCAGGGTTTGCTCCTGTAGCCAATGCAGATAAGTGCCGTTCTTGTGGATAATGCTATGCCGAGATTCAAAGCCACCTTGTCAGCCGGAACTCATTTCCGATAGTGAGACCGATGTGGATAACAAGTCGAGCATGTATGGCAATATTAAAGTATAATAAGCTGTCTTCTTGCTCACCCATGATCAAAGGCTTCTTTCTTGTATTCCTTGACACAGAGCTGGCCTCCTTCGCTTCGTCTTACATCTCGTCTTACAAGTATTGCTGGTTCATACTTTTCATTTCTACATCATCTTCATTTTTTATACATCATCTTTATCATTTTTATTCATCATGGTCTGCCTTAACCGACTTTCTGTCTCAGCTATTCTTTTGCTCAACCTTAGTGAGCTAGCTGCAGCTGCACCTATCGCGATACGAGAGGCTACTATCGGAGAGAGCACTCAAATGGCTGCAAGGAATCTGAAGAACCCGATTGTCGGTAGCAGGGATAATTTGGAGCAGCGCAGCTTCGAAATGCTGGAAGAGCGTGACGGCGATGATATTGGATTTATTCTCCGAGACGTGTATACCGACGAAATCGATATTGATACCCGAGCACCCTTAGGGATCACGAAGCTTATTAAGACTGTTGTTGCCGGTGGCCGTAAAGACTTGCATAATTTGGACAATATGGTAAAGGTCCATAATAACAATGTCAAGAAGAACCAGGCGGCGAACAAGAAGGTGAAGCGTCACTATTAGGATATTGAGCTTACTACCCGAGCGCCTTTTGCCGTCACAAAGCTTATAAAGTCTGCTCTTTCTTCTGCTACTAGATATTGAGATGCTTGACCATTTTGAACAAAATTTATACTGGTGTTGCTATTTCACGTTTTTAGATCGTGATATGCAACAACTCTAGGTCGTAGATGTTTACTCACTCTAAGCCTACCTGGTTCGGCTGATCAATGTAACGAATGTTGACAAAGATATTCCAGCTCCAAGGAATCTACCAAAGCCAAATATTGTTCAATCTTATCAAACTTTATTCAGTCATCGAGAGCATATTACGGCAAGAAAACCAATATTATTATACCTTATACATGAAGCTTCACGAGAGAGATACTGACAAGTCCCCAGCAAGAAAAGCTCCAGCGTCGTCTTCAAAACTCATAAGTTCAGGGAGAAAGTTATCAACTCCGCACCAAGTCTCCGTGAAGGATGCACCGGCAGCAAAGTCGTGGTGCGACTGGATGCTGCAGGGTTCTGCACCCCCGGCGCTCGCCCAACTTTCAAGTGTGTTGGATAGGGGCGTGGGTTGCTGCCGCACTGTTCCAGAGACAGAACCCTCCGCATTCATTTCTTCTGGGTCTGCTGACGACATGTCGAGGTTACCAGAGGCACTAGGGCTCGGGTACATACATGCCACAGCAACCCTACTTGGTCCCATATCCATGCTCTTCGGTTCCGTTCGAGACTTCCATTCTCCCTCTACCTTGCCAAATGAGACATTCATAAATAATGATGCAGCTTGAAGCCCACTATTGTTGTTTCTAAGAATAGAATTGATGAAATGAATAGCATAATCGGCGGATGAGTACATTTCCTGCAACTGTTGAAGGACGTGTACACATTGGTAGAGGCGACCGAGGCTAAGGTTTCGAGTTTCCTCATCGTTTGAACGGGTATCAAGCAGATGTACAACAGTTACCGAAAAGAAAGCTGGGACGGCAATCGTAGACAGATAACGTATTTGATTGTTGCGTTGAAGGTCGAAGCCCAGTTTGGTTAAGTCTGCAACGGTATGATCTTTGGGTGCCTCTTTATTAAGAAAGCTACTGCTCCGGTCTGAGGTACCGCAGTATAGCTGAGGTCTGTGGAAGGTTCCCAGGGTAATTAAATAGATCAGATATAGTTGTGCTTGGTGGAAGCGAGCCAACTTCTGTATCTCGCTGCTCTCCATTGTGTGTAACGGGGGCTCATGAGACCCCACAACATACCGAGAATTGTCGTCCTGCTGCTCTCTCCAAGTCTCGAGCTCTGCAGCGCACCTTTTTAGACTTCTCTCTTGTTCCTGTGATCTCTTTGGACCTGCAGCCCCTGTCAGAAGATACTCTGAGCCTCCTTGATAGCTGCCCATCACAGTATATACGACACGTAGAAGACGCCCGAGGATCAGGCATAGCCTAGACAGTTCTACGCACATTTTCGCCAGAATTCTCTGCTCTTGTAAATCTGGACATGCGAATTTCGAGTTTTTGAACAGCTTCGCTAGAGTAGACGAGGGTGGGCTAATGTCAAAATCATCCAGACTGAGAACTCTGACACTGTACTCATTATCACGAATTCTAGGCGGCTGTCTAATGGTGAGTGCCAGCATCCGGTCCCTCATGATGCAACACCACCATATACGACGTCGCAACCGCTTTTCCTGCGGCGAGATATTCAGTTGGTCAGGACTTCGGTGTAGTCCAATCAAGTGCGCCTTTGTTACAGCGATACCCATCCAATACCAGGTATCCTGGTCATCGTCGGGACAGTCGTACCAGTATGTCATAAGGAGCAATGATTGGACTAAAGCCAGCCGATCTGATTCGTAGTTGATCCCGTATAGAATCCGGACACGGTCAAAGAAAGCTTTCCGTGCCAACTTCCGGCTCGGATAACCTCTTGTTTGCAGAAACTCAAAATCTACAAACGCAATACTGACAAACATGACTGACTGGAAAAGCAATAGGCTAACCGGGTCGGTACTGTTTCTGCGATAGACAGAATCGATAAAGTCCTCTAGCTCGATAGCTGGGATAAATGGGTACACGATTGAGATGAAGACTCGCAGAAGCTCGTCCCGAAACTCAACATCCGGGATATCGAGACAACGTTTATCTATCAGATAGTCGAGGTCCTTGGCGTCAAGGTGACGAGGGACGGGGCGAATATAAGAAGGAAGACGGGATGGTGTCTCGCCTCGATGGACATCAGCAGTATGAGCCGGTGTCCCACCTTGACTGTCTCGCGCGGCCAAGCTTGTTAGTGTTCTATCAATTGATCCTTGGCGGCGCGTGTGCTGACTTTGTCGAGGAGTTTGAATACCAGTATCGTCCAAACCCTCATCCTCGTTGGGCAGTTGGCCATGCTCTTCTAATGACCCATTAGCAGTATTCCCAAAAACAATTATCGAAGTTACTTGACATACCTGGGGCTTCTAAGGAAGCAAGGGACTCGTCCTGGCTGTCAAGAGATCGATCACAAGGCGATGAATTAGACTGCCCGGACGACTCCGGTTGCTCAGGTTGCCGTGTTTGTCGCGGCTGGTGTCGCTCTGGCTCCTGGGCGCTCGCCACTCGTATGGATGGCTGAGGCGACATGACAGCAGCCGGAGCCCTTGGACGAGTGACCGACCCGGGCTTCCGGCCACGGTTCGACTCCTTAAGCACGCATTCAAGCTCATCTAGACGGCAATTGTTGCATGGAACCCCTCCGTTGACGACATCGCATCGCACTTTGCGGCTACGGCACGAAAGACAGGCCTTTGATGACCGTCGCTTTCCGAGGCGGTCGCCGCTGTGACCGTCCCATGGGGCATTGCGTTTTCGGCTGATCTGGGCTGAACCAGCCTGTCTGTCTGACCTGTTCTCTACTGGCATTTGGACAACACTGCGACTAGAGTTTCAAAGTGTAAGGAAGTGATGGCTATCAACTGGCTACCAAGGGCGCCCGCATGGAACGGAATCACAGGAGGGGTATCAAGATCGAGTGGTCAATCCGGGACCGTTGACAGAACATGTGCAATTCAGCGGAAATAGAAGTCTCCGAGCCCGACCAGCCAAGCACTTTGCCTCCTTAATGGTGCATTTCCCCGCATCTCCGCACCTGAGACTACATTGGACTGCATGAATACGGCGCTATTGTTCTCCGGTGTCCCGAGACCAGGGTGGAATTCCTATATTGAGGCAAGTCGGTCTGGGGAATACCTAGCCAGCAATGACTATGACTCCCGGTCAAGCTAATGCACCCCAGACCAATAGCTACTCTTTGATAGCGGAAGGATGGGTTACCACAATCCTGTTACTGGCTCAGTGTGACATCACAGAAGCTGCTTGGCCTGAGCTTCGACTCTATGGAAAAGTCTTAGAGGCTTGTTGTATCCCCTCAGGTGTCAATTTGCACAAATTAAAAAAGTGAGAATAATAGAGTTGAATTCTGTGAATTTTCTTTCCTAATCTCTGAGCGACAGCATGCGAGACTGAATACCTGGTGCCACAGATTGGTTATCTGTATGGCCAGCTTTCTACGGTTTTGAATCGATTGAATTATCTATAGCAGTAGCGTGATGTATCTGATTCTCTTTTTGTTGATCAATGAATTTCCCAATTTGTAAAGTGGTGGGTTGCAGTTACACCTGGACGTCAACAGGTCTAGATAGCCGCGGGCCGAGGGGATGCTCAAGTAGCCGTGGCCTCGTAACAAGCTGCGACCAGGCAAACATCCCAGGGTTTTTTTTTTGCCCTTTACCTAGGAAAAAAAAGAATCAATAAGTCATCAGAGCTAGCTGGCCCATTACTGTCAAACTCCCTACACACGACTAGCGAGAAGCTGGCACCCTGAATTCACAGCGAGATGATACGTTAGATGCTTCGTTAGTATGTTCAGCATTTCTTTTGCTAGAACTTGTAATACGTACGCAAGAGAATTCGAGTTTAAAGTTCAAAACAACAATGGTTCCGTCTCAAGTGAAAGATCGTTCTTAAACTCCACGTGTCCAGCCTCCATCTACAGCCACGTTTTGACCAGTGATCTAATTCAGTTAACCGATATCAGAAGCTGATTAATACTAAAGAGGGCTGTATTGGATGAACATACATAGCTAGCTCTTTCGGAAGCAAGAAATACAACTTGGGCCGCAATTTCTTCAACCTTCCCAGGCCGTTTCATTGATATTTGAGGTTGAGGCTCTGCTTGCTGTAGATTCATCTCTTCGCTTTCGCTCACGATTTTCTCACTCACGCCAGTGTCGATGAGGCCAATGGCGATCGTGTTAAAAGTAATACCAAAAGACGCAAATTCATTCGAAAGAGAGCGCATGAGTCCAACGGCAGCCCTAGAAGAATAAACGATAAGTGAGATGCTCTTCGCTGTTTGTTTTTAAATAGGGAATATACCTACAGCCGAAAGGTGTTTCCCAAAACGATGTGATGCCACCTGTGAGGCTCCAGCGTCGACACACTTCCCAAATTGATAAACCTGCCCCATTTCTTCTCTTTCCAGGTTGGAAGAACTGCCTTTGCAAGGTGGACTACACTAAGGACGCACTGCTCGGAACTGGTCCTAAAGTCATCTGCGCTAGCTTCGTCGAATCCTATCTTGATCAAGGACCGCACGTTGCACACAACGACATCTGGCACGGAGCCGAATACCTCCTGCGTCTTTGCAACTGCCTTTTTGACATCATCCTCGTTTGTCATGTCTGCCGCAACATAGCTTGCCCTGCCACCGAATTCATTAAGTTCTTTGCCAGTTTCTTCCAGTGGTCCAATTCGGCGTGCTGTGATCATTACTCTGGCCCTTTCGCCGGCAAACTCCGAGGCAATGGCTTTTCCGATACCGCTAGAGCCACCAGAAACCAGAACAACCTTGCCTTCGAGCCCTAGCTTCATGTTCCCTCAATTACAGCAGTAATATAACGTTTAGATCAGAGTAGGGTTGAACGTCGTTGGATGCTTGACCTTTAATTGTGACGCATTAAGCGGGCACGGCTCTCTTTTAGTCCTAAATACAAGGTCAGTGATGCTGAGCGCTTTTAATGGGCAGTATTTTCTCAACTATCGAGTAAATCCATGCACATATCATTGGCCGAGCGTCCAGACCATCAAGGCTCTTAACCCAGCAGACAAAGCCCTTCCCTCTCATTCACATATTACACCGAGCACTAGGTTATTGCCTCGGCTTCATCAACATCGATCTAGAAACTTTTCTTCGTCATAAGTTCTCGCACTGATACAAACCCTGTCTCAATAGACGATGCCAACTGAGAATAATAATGCGAATTACACCACCAATACTTAGAAGTGTGGATAGCTTCACGTAGCACTTGATTGGTCTGGGTCTGCATCCTACTTCAGTATGTGTTTTTGTAATTTAATGGCCTAAGTATAGATCCGGCTAAAGTAAAAATGATAATCTGAACTCTATATGTTAAGATGAAAGGGATAAAACACTCCCAAGCTATTTGTCTGCCAAATAGCTTGTACACAAAGATCTATCATCATTTAAATCTAGCTCACTAAAGTTTTGAGGCTTTGTCCTGCGCTGCTTCTTCCCCGGTAGATTTGTAACCGAAGAGGTCAGCAGCAATCTTCCGAATTTGAACCTCTTCACTTCCTTCAGTAATCCTATAGCGTCTGAAATGCCTCCAGATATGCTCGAAGGGATAGTGTCTCGAATACCCATCCCCTCCATGGATCTGTATCGCCCTATCCGCTGCTTCACAAGCCAGTCGATTAGCGTAGTAATTGCACATTCCGATCTTGTGCCCGAGCTGCCTCTCTATGGCCACCCATGGTGGCCGACCAGCTGCCTTTGCCCGTGCGGTGACTTCATCCATCTCAACTGCTGTTCGGAGAATAAGGAGCCTGAGCATCTCGGCCTGGGTGGCAAGCTCAACAAGAGGCCATTGGATAGCTTGATTGGAGGATAGCGGCTTTCCGAATACCTTGCGCTTATTAGCATGCTCAACTCTTCGGTCGATACAGTATCTCGCGGCGCCACAACTAGAGGCGGCTTGTCGGATCCGATTCTCATGGGTGAATGTTTGCGCAATCGCCAACCCATTGTCCCGCGGCCCGAGGATAGCGGACTCGGGGACACACACCTTTTCTAAGAGGATCGTACCATGGTCTGTAGGCATATTCATTGTCCATTCGTAAGACGTCACGGTTAATCCAGGTGAAGCCTTGGGTACAAGGAAAGCGGTGATGCCGTTGGCGTCGCCATTTTTACCAGAGGTCCGAGCGAATACGATACAGTAGTCTGCGTGATGTATGCCCGTTTGCCACTTTTTGTTTCCGTTTATCTCGTATCCACGATCCCCGGAAGGAAGGATAATTGGATGGGCTGTCGTTTCCATATGCGTCGCATCGGAGCCATGGTTGCTTTCAGTCAACCCAAAGGTAGCTTTCAACTCTCCCCGGATAGTAGCGTGTATGAAGTGTTTCCGTTGCTCTGGCGTGCCGTAGTGGTTGATCAATATGACGAATGGCAGGTTGCCCACCATGCTGTGTTCGCTTTGTAAATCATTGGCCAAGCTAACGCCTCCTCCATATACAGGATGGGAGGACAGGTGATATCGGGCCGCACACATGAACAGGTTCAAGGATTCATTTCCGGACCCTCCAAATTCTTTAGGACACGCAAACCGGTAGAATCCTGCTTGGTCCGCGAGATCTTTAGCTTGTTTGAGCAAGCTCTCCCACTCGCTGGTTGGCAGTCCTTGGTTGTCCCACTGCGTTCGTGAGGCCTCACGACGGTGGTCGAAGAAACTTTCATTATCATCTTTCTGCTGCAGTGGTATTATAGTGTGCATAATGAACTTGTCAAGTTGAGACAAATAATCCCGTACTTCTGGGGGAAGCTCGAAATTCATGGTGAATCGAATGTATCTGCAAGTCAACTAAAGAGAAATCGATTCTTCAATAGCTGCTCTAACAAAAGCAGAGTTTCTTAAAACCAACCAAGTTCGTTCTGCGCAATGGACCTACTGTGTTTCGAATGTGAAAACGATGGAGCCATTCCAGTACCATCCTCGGCTTTCTCGGCAACTGACGTACTCACCCAACATGGTACGGTAGGCCATCATCAAATTGGAACCCTGTTGGGTGTGCCAATTATATCATGTAAACTCATTCTATGGCCTACCTAGGTAATGGTCGTAGAAGACCTGCGTTGGTTGGCTTAATTCCCAACCTTGATCAGGGGCACCAAATGTTACTGTTGCTTGCTTCACCTACAAACCAGCTAACGTAACGCTTTAATGAATGTTAGATTTTTCTACAACGTGGAAAATAAAACAATATCCATCGGCTGATATTCTAGATTGAGTCATTTGACAGTGAAAGGGGTCGGTTTCTCCACCAGATCAGGCTAAGTCTTGTCTTAAGAACGTATAAACCAACACCATCCAAACAACTGAGTGGCCGTTGCCTCCTGGCAGACGAATTTAGCTACAAGATCAAACTAAATCCGGTTTTAGTTGACAGTGAGAACTCGGTCTAAATAGTTAGATGTGTCAAGGACTCTAGGTTACATACAAGGCATTGGCAAGCCGACTATCTCCCCTGGCCTCTGATAACCGCACGTAGACGCCAGAATCTAGGCTCAATCAAGGTATTACAGACGAGGTTTACTACACCCCCAATCTCGTTGTCTCAATCTACACTCCTCAAAATTGAACTGTCGATGTATAAATTTATCAAGGGCCTCGGCCGGACGTTGTTCAGCTATTAACCGAGGGCCTCCTCTACGTTTTAAGAGAGTCGAGCGACATTATGCCATTGTCGGTATCAAATATTTAAGTCGGTAGTATGAATGTAATTTATTTCTTCTCAGGTTCGAGTTTGGAATACATGTTATGTTATATTCAAGCAATCTATTTCAGAATACAAAAAATAAACATTATTTGAAAAACGTCCCCTAACATCATGGCCGATGCTCCAAGAAATGGGTGGAAAGAAACCTCCTCGTCTGATTTGAAGAACTCGGATCTGGCGAATGGTAACCTCATTGCCACTGTTCGCCAGAAATATGATGAGGAACGCAACAAACGTATCCGGGATGATGGAATGGCGCAGTTTGTTGACCTCTATGGTCACGAAAAATTCAGGCATTTCAAAGCAGACCCATGGGTACAACTGGAGCCTCCCAGATTGGGAGGTCCCAACCCACCACAAGAGGGCTCAAATTGCGACATTTTGATTGTTGGGACAGGATATGGCGGGCTTTTATTTGCTGTCAGACTACTGGAAGCTGGATTCAAGCTGGAGAATATTCGTCTAGTTGACTATGCAGCAGGCTTCGGTGGTACTTGGTGTAAGTGCCCTCTGATTCCCTTATCTCTATCATTGTATGGACTGAACAGAAATTTAACACGAGGCAGACTGGAATCGCTACCCAGGCTTGATGTGCGACGTTGAGAGTTATATTTACATGCCTTTACTGGAAGAAACGGGTTACATTCCAACTATGAAATATGCCTCCAGCCAGGAACTGAGGGATCATGCTGAAAGGATCGCAAAAAAATGGAATTTGGACAAAATCACTTGGTTTAAGCATCGAGTTCAGTCAATTGAGTGGGATGATGCAACTAATGAATGGGTAACCGGCCTAGTACCCCAGTTGCAACATGGGAATGAGGACAAGGCGATCAGCGTTCGGTCACGATTTTCAATTCTTGCGACCGGCTTTACTCTCATCCCGCGTGTAGCTCAGGTCCCAGGGATAAGCAAGTTCAAGGGCTCTTACTTTCACACTGCTCGTTGGGATTACAACGTCACCGGAGGAACGCCCGAAAATCCAAAAATGGTCCACCTCAAAGACAAGAGAGTTGGCATTATTGGAACGGGGGCTACCGCGATTCAAGTAGTTCCCGCTCTCGCGGCTTGGGCCAAAGAGCTCTACGTGTTCCAGAGAACTCCTTCAGCTGTCGATCGGCGGGACAACCAACCCACCGACCCAGACTGGGCCAATGCGATGAGATCAAAGCCTGGGTGGCAAACAGAACGCATCGAGAACTTTCAATATTTTCTGAGCCATAATCCTACAAGACCTTCTATTAATATGGTGTCGGACGGCTGGACGAGAATGAAGTCATACAGCGCCCTGGGCGGGAGCCCTGGACTAGTGTGTAAAACTTCAGAAGAGATTCAAAGACATGTTGATGCCCTACATGCACTCGACTTTCCTCGACAAGAGTCAATCCGAAAACGAGTGGATGAACTTGTTCTAGACCCAGATACAGCACAGAAGCTTAAGCCGTGGTACCCAGGATGGTGCAAGCGACCTTGCTTTCACGACGAATACTTACAATCTTTTAATCGGCCAAATGTACAGCTCGTCGATACTGACGGTCGCGGCGTGGACAGGATCACCGAGGATAGTCTCATAGTTGGTAATCAGGAATACAAGATCGATACCCTGATCCTAGGTACAGGCTACAGGAGTCCAGTCTTGTTCAGTCCTGCCGGTCGAGTGGGCCTTGATGTCAAGGGGCGTAACGGCCGTTCCTTGGACAAGAAATGGGCCGAAGGCGTTACAACTCTGCACGGTATGATGAGCCATGATTTCCCGAATCTGTTCTGGCCAGGACTCAATCAAAGTGGAGCTGGTCCCAATTTCACTTATTGTATCGACATGGCCGCCAAACACATCTCCAAGATCATGGCCCATGCAGCAACTATTCAAGCCGGTCATCCTGGCAGTACTTATCGTCTCAACTTCGTTATAGAGCCAACTCCTGATGCGGAAGAGGAATGGTCTCAGAGAGTAGCGTCGACCGCTGGAGTTTTCGCTACAAGTGCCGGTTGCACCCCAAGCTACTTCAATGCCGAGGGTGAGTTTAACCGCGAGGTCCCGGTGGAGGTGCAGCAAAAGAGGGCCCGTTCTGCTGTTTGGAGTCAAGGCCCTATACATTTTCGGGGGCTTTTAGAAGATTGGAGAGAGAACAAGAACTTCGAAGGCCTCAGCATCGTTGCTTTGGAACCAAAAGTGTGATCCCCGGGGAGCTATGTGGATCAACAGTTGTGTCTACTGTCATAAGGATGCAAGTAAATGGCCTACTTGTGGAATCCACAAATCACATTTGTATTTTCTTTTGATCCTAACAGATGAAGCATCTCTGGTATGAGAAACCCTGTGTATGCCTTGGGCTCATTTGTTTCAATCAAGAAATATTCGTATTTTTACTTACGTTACCAAATTTGACTGCAAGTGCCCGTATTAAATTTAGTAAACGCCGTTATCATGAAGGATTGCCGTAATCAGATACAGCATGGCCAATAGCTCCATCACAAAACCAACAGCTATTCATTCTGTGAGTCACATTTCCTCAGAACTACTGCTTCCTCAATAAAGCACCAGTAAACATTCTTCAAAAGGAAAAAGGTTTCCACACAAGGGCTTTAACATTTTCTTCGATACTCTATGTTAGGCTGGCCGAGGCGTTGTAATCCCAGTTTACGTCTCCCAATGTGACCGAGGTGTTCTGCTAGAGGGCGCCCAACCTCGGCCTTTCATCTCCAATCCATTCTAAATCGTCACTATCTTTAGATCAATGGCGAAAAAATAGAGGATCATGAATTTCAAGTTTCGAGAAAGAATCCGAAAACCTCCGACTCAGGATCGATACACATCTAGCTAAAATCAGGCTGAGATCTCAGAGCTGGGCAAGCAGCCAATTATTCTATGATCTACGAAAAACTATTATACAGCACATTACAATGGCGAGAAATGCATCAGAGAACCAAGCCTATGTGCTTGGTGTCGGTATGACAAAGTTTATAAAACCTCGTGGTCTACGAGAGTACCCGGATATGGGCTACGAGGCTGGCATCAAGGCTATGCTCGATGCCCAGATCAACTACGACGACGTTCAGCATGGAGTAGCTTGCTTTGCCTACGGCGACTCGACGTCCGGCCAACGAGTTTTCTACCAGTTTGGCATGTCCGCCATCCCCATTGTCAACACCAGCAACGCATGTGCCACTGGGTCTGTTGGCCTCTACCTAGCCCGTACGCTGGTACAGAGCGGCAAGGCAGACTGTGTCTTGGTGGTTGGTTTTGAGAAAATGAGGCCTGGAAGCCTCAAGAGCGTCTGGGAAGACAGGCCAAGCTCCAGCGGACGTTTTGCTGCCAAAATGGATGAGTTGGTCGGCACCGACAAAGCTCCTCTGACGGTACAATACTTTGGCAATGCCGGACGCGAGTATATGCAAAAGTACGAGTCGCCGCTAAGTCAATCATCCTCAAACATACGCAACGAGAGCTGACAGCCACTCTAGGTATGGAGCGACAGCAGAAGACTTTGCCGAGATTGGACGCGTCTCGCACGAGCATTCCCAGAACAACCCTTACGCGCAATTCCGACAATCCTACACGACCAAAGAAATCTTAGACTCGCCGACAATCTTCTCGCCCTTGACCAAGCTTCAATGTAGCCCTACAAGCGACGGTGCGGCAGCTACAGTGATTGTCTCACAGAGCTTTCTGGATGCACGAGCTCATCTCAAGAACCAGGCAATCCTGATGGCAGGGCAATCCTTCCTTACCGACTCTCCAAAGGCGTTTGGGACAAGCGCAATCGAGCTGGTCGGCTATGACATGAGCCAACGCGCCGCTCGAGCCGCGCTGAAGGAAGCAGGCTTTATCGCTGGCGACGTTCGCGTTTGTGAGCTGCACGACTGCTTCTCCACGAACGAGCTCCTCCTGCTGGATGCCCTCGAGCTCTCAGAGCCCGGGAAGGCTCACGAGATGGTCCGCAGAGGCGACATCACATACGGGGGCAAGGTGGTCATCAACCCATCGGGAGGCCTCATTTCCAAGGGGCACCCCATCGGAGCCACAGGACTGGCCCAATGTGCTGAGTTGACCTGGCAGCTACGCGGCTGGGCCAACAACAGACTCGTTGACAAGGCAAACGTGGCGCTGCAGCATAATCTTGGTCTTGGGGGCGCGGTAGTGGTGAATGTCTACCAGCGAGCGGACGGCAAGGTCAGCACGAAGGTGAGCAACGAAGAAATTGCGCGCAGCAGTTGGCTTGGATACAACGCGGCAATTGAAGCCCAGGGAATCAGTCAAAGCGATGCCAGCAAAGTCAGGAGTAAGAGGAATAGGAACGACTTCGCTCTGGGTGGCACTGCAGAGAAGATTTGTGCCAAATCCCATTTGTAGATGTAGGTGGCTAAGTTAAGACGCGACAAATTAGACTCTCTGCTTCATCATTCTCTCCTTGCCTCGCTTGAGGTTTAATTGGTAATCTCGAATGAAGTGTTCATGATTTCTTCAACACGCCAATGAACAACAACGGCTAAGGGACATATTTTTTTCATTTCTAGCTTCTATGTTCTTTTCAGTGAATGGCTTCTGCTACACGATGACACTAGATTGTTTGATTCCATCGCAAAACTCAAATATTCGATTTCAATCCGAGCTGGAATGACCAGTATAGGGTAGGCGACGATCGCGAAAACTGGACGCGTTTTTTGTTGTTTTGAATCTTTTGGGGCAAAAGCAAACGACGTCATCAATTTACTTGACGCATCTGATTGGCTGTGCATATCTCCTTCAGCGCCCAATCAGCTACGAGATCTCTTAGTCACAATGTGATTGGCTAGATTCTACTTGTAGACTCCCCTAATTTGTTTCAATTCTATTGGCTCGGTTACTACGGGCTTAACTTCACAAGGTCCCATCCCCTTTCTTCCCTTCCAAAAACTCCTCCCTCGGCAAAGCATGGCAGAAACAATAGACACTGATCAACGTAGTCCAGGGTAGCCGGGATGACACAGGCTCTTTACCCTCACAACGGTACGCCTTCTGGACGAGGCTGGCGGCCTGCAGCTGTGCTCGGCGGGCCAAGCGGTTTGTTCCCATAGGGCGTGACGTCGATGCCCAACTCTTCCGCCTTGATGCGAAGCGCCAGACGCGTAGAATGGAACCTGGTAAAAGCGAATTGATGGAACGCTGCATAGAGGCCCTTCTGTGGCAGCGGGCAGTAGTTGATGATGGACTCTCCTTCGGGCCCGATGAAGAAGGAATTCCCCTTTTCCCAGCGCTCGTGACACTTCTTGGCCATCTCGTCGCCAAGAAGGGCCTGGATCGCGCTCTTGGAGTTCATATACCCGGTTGCGAAAATCACGACATCTGCTTGTTGACTGGTGCCATCTTTGTAAACGACGCCATCCTTCGTGAACCGTCCAATCTCCGTGTGGAGCATCTTGATTTTGTTGTCTATTATGAGTTGGCAACAGCCGGTATCCCAGTAGAATCCTCCCTGCTGGAAGGGGAACATTGAGTAGGCGCCTCCGCCGTGGTAGCCATCATGCAGGCGATACCCTGCGTTGGACAGCGCCTCGAGAAAGTCTTGGTCGAGCTCCCGTGTCTTCTTTTGCCCACGGCGCATCAGTTCATACTCGACCGGGTATGGATGCTTCAAGAAGTTGGCCTGGTCCGCTAACTCGAGTGGCTGACCGCCTCGTCGATTCGTCAGCTCTCGGCTCTTGAACAAGTACCGCACGCTCGTCTCTACCGACATGATGTGAGTCGAGCTACGTTGGAGCATGGTGACTTCACACCCACTCTCACTCAGCTCATAGGAGATGTCGTGGCCCGAGGTTGCTGCACCTACGACGATGCAGCGCTTTCCCTTCCAATCAGTACCTGTCCGATGGCGTGAAGAATGAACTACTATACCGCCATTCTTTTCGAAATCAGCCATTCCGGGAACTTCGGGAACGTTCGGTAGCGTCCCAGACATCCCCGTGGCAATCACCAGATGGCGTGGGTGCAGAGTACGCTGAGAACCATCCTTTCGTGTGACATGAATCGTCCACTGACCCTTTTCCTCGTCGTAGACCGCAGTTTCCCCATCTAGGTGAGAATTTGTCCAGATGTTGAGATCCATGATTTCTGCATAATGATACAGAAATTTAGCTAGTTGCTGCGCCGGCAGAAACACAGGAAACCAGTGTGGAAAGGGGAGCGCTGGCATGTGGTTCGTAAAGGTTGGCCCGTGTAAAGACAGCGAGGCATAGCGAGTTGCCCAACTGTATCCTGCATGATCGCCCTTCTCAATAATGAGATGTGGGATGCCGAGCAGCTTGAAGCGTGCGGCCATGCTTAATCCAGTATGACCAGCTCCCACAATGACAACCACGGGGTCAGCTCCCTTGCAATCAGCCTCGTCCCGCCTAAGATCTTCATAATTCCGACCGTTTCCATCGGGGTCATGCACCTTTGCACGCTGGTACCTGTTTTTATCACCAAACTCGGCATCCCACCCTTGGATAGTCTCCAACGTGGTTCCGATGGTGTAAATCTTCCAGGAGGCGACATCTGCCAGTTCTGAAGATGAGCCAGTCTTTGCCGTGAGAGGGCTAAGGCGAGCTACAGCCACGCCAGTGCCGTGCTCAAAGTCAAACTCGAGGTGAAGAAGAAGAAACGAAAGGTCATCACCTAGCGTTTCTAGGCTTGGAGTTACCTGGGGGTTGATTCGAAGATTCTTAATTCCTGTCTTGGGCAGCCGTTCTACGAGCATTGGCCGAATTTGGCCATGCCCGTGAAGGGTTCGAATATCCCAAGTCAAGACTTCGACGTCCTTCCAATACCCGTCTGTATAAATGTGTTCAAGAATTGCATCGATCTTCTGTGCCTCAACAGCTTTGGCAAAAGAGCCGGTGAAGGCTTCTGCAATCTTCACAGGATCAAAAGAGGCATAGTCCGGGGTGAACCCCAGCTTGGTGTTGGTTGGAATCACAGCCCGCTTGACGTGGCCGTAGTAACCCAGAGTGTCGGACAAGGGCACGCCTGCCCAGCCGATCGTAGAATCAGCATTAGGTGGGCGGATGGGTTCATCGTTCCATCCTGAAGGTTCTGCGGGGATCATGATTAGATTGATGATATGATCTGTTTCTTTGTTCTGTCTTCCTATGGTTTTGAATTATTGTTCTTCAAAGACAGTAATATATGTGAATATCAAAGACTTTCCTGGCCCTGAGAGCGTTCTGTAGGTCATATCCTTACCCTCGCGTACCGAAAATACACTCCGTTGCGTACTAACCATTGCAATAGGGATTGTGTCACTATTCCGATCTTAACAAAAAAAATATCCATTTACTGTGACGACTTGCCTCGGGCCGAGTCCAGTACATACACGGGTGGAAGCTGTATGAAAAATATTAGCTTAATCCGGTTTAGGCAGTGACTGGGTTGTACAGCGCGGCTGATGAACTTATCCGGTCCTTTTCATCGCACCCAGCGTAGTTAGGAGTCTAGAGACTTTCACGTTCTCGATATCGGCTCATTACAGCTCCTGCTGAAATCTAGCAGGTTCAGGGAAAATACCGCAAGATGTCTTCTGGTCACCTGGGAAGGAAGTAGAATAGAGCGAAGACCGTCTTAGTCCGACCTGTATCAATTTTCCTCGAAGAAAGCACAAGAACTTGAAGAAATGCTTGAAGTGTCGTATATTCAGCTTGTTATCTCATCTTGCCACACTTGTGTACAGACTGGTATATAGACATAGACTATCTAATTAGGACTGAGTAGCTCTAGAAGCCCCGAAGAAAGCTTTGTAAGACCGCGCATGAGCCAACTCAACGCTTATTTTGCACTCCTCACTCGTATATTCGGGACGCTCCTTGATTTTAGAGCCTCCACCACCAGGGAGAATCTCGATGGCTTCACCAGAAGTAGTACAATCTCCCAGCAATTCTTCAAACGCGCTCAGCAAAGTTTCCACAGGTGTCAGCAGCCCTTTCGCCTCGATCTTGTCGTAGAACTCGTTGCTGGAAATACCAGTCCTTACGATACAAGGGCAAATAGCGTTGAGTGTTATCTTTTCCTCTGACAAGAATTTACCATAAGAACGTACAAAACCCACAACAGCACTACCAGGAATTAGAGGCAATAGACGTGGCATGGAGGGGGTTGACTGACTGTTTTGAAGCTGAATAGATGGGGAGACTTGGGATGGAATAGAAGCCACACCCGGACGATACGATTATGGCTACAAAAGAGTTAATCTCGATGATTGCCATTGACCTAGTGCCAGACGTAGTACTTACTCTTTCCACGGAACCCGTACTTGTTTGGTTGTTGAGCTCGGAAATGTTGGGTTGCTAGGGCAGAGGTATATAGAGCCCCGGTGCCATTGATATCAAAGACAGACAGATCAGGTTTCACGAAACCATCGCCGCTAGGTTCATTGGGAATCCAGAGACGTTCGGTGATCCCGGCGACTGGGAAGACGTAGTGGATTCTGCCGAGTTTTTCAACAGCAGTCTCAAATGCTTGTTTCTGTGAATCCCAGTCTGCCACATCGACCTGCGCAGCCCAAGCGACTTGGCCATTCTTGTTCAAATCTTTGGCAACTTCTTCTGCACCTTCGAAATTCCGATCAGAAACCACCACTTTCATTCTATTGGAGGGCTAATATTAGCCAATATGTAACTAGGTCGTCCAGTTGAGGATACTGGTGAGAACCTACCCCTTGCTAACGAGCCTCTCAGCCAAGAAACGACCAATGCCGCTGGCACCACCTGTTGAATGTATGAGGATCCTCAGTTTGGACAGTGGGTGCTAAGTTTGCCTTACCTGTGATGTATGCAGTCTCTCCCGAGTAAGACATAATGTAGTAAATTTGAAGGTGTACTTAAGAAATCTTCAAATGAATCAATCAAGACCAGTTATTTTCTTTGCAATCTGATTGAATATCCAACAATCGAACTAGTCTTCAATTACGAATGGGAATATAGATGAGAATTTTGAACGTCTGAAAATTGGACGTAGAATTTTGGTCATGTGTTAGAATATATGTTGCCGAGGTGTCAGGAACGTGGAAGCGGCCCTCACAGAATGTAGGGTGCGAGCCTCGGGGCCGAGGATTCGGCACGAATTCCCATACGACATTTCAAGAAATATCGGGAAAAAGAGGAATTTGAAACATGAAGAGAAGCAAAGACTGTGTAATTGGCTTGGAAGCATGCTCTGAGCTCTTCGCATGGCGTCCTCTTGAATTGTAGCGGGTATTGGGCACATTACATTGGCTACTGGAAAGACCCTAGACTTACTAGATATATTCAAATTGATACCAAAATTCATCACAGCCTTCAATTGAGAACAGGACAATGAATGTGTGATGATTTAGGCACTCTCCTGCCCTAGGGATTTGA